GAGGGGAGAAAAGAATTTAAAAACATATTTAACCCAGTAGATGGTATACTACTGAGAGAGATGTAAATTAGTACATGGTTGTAGAAATAAATTTAGTGATATTTATCAAAAACCTCAAAATGATTCATATGCCTTACTTTATAATTTCACTTCTAGCAATTTACCTTAATGAATAGAGATGGTTGTCATGAAAATATTACTTATAATAGAAAAACAGCAACAACAAAAACAATCCAAATATTCAATATTAAGAATTTTTAAAAAATAAACAGGCATAAATATTGAACAAGGTTCATTAAATATCTCTCTAAATGATTTATTGAATACTTAACGTGTAGGCACAGCCCTAAAGTATGGAATACAAAGACGTTTCTGGTTATTTATTGCTATATTATAAACTATCTCAAACTTAGATTCTTAAAATAGCCATGATTTATTTGCTTACGCTTTTGTATTTAGGGCAAAGCTTATTCTCTACACAGCATCAACTGGGGTAAAGTAACTGAGGGCTGGAATATCCCTTTGTAAGATGATTCATTTCTTTTGCTGTTAAATTCATTTTGACTGTCAGCCTGGAACTTAGCTGGTGCTGAGGGACAAGAATATTGGTTCTTTTCTCTGTGGGCCTCTTCATGTCACATGGTCTTCCTCACAGCGTGGTGGCGGGGTAAAAAATAATTGTCTCCAGAGAGAGGCAGCCGTAGTCTCAGAAGTCACATATAATCACAAGAGAACGATTTCAAGTAAATGGTACAGCCCGGCCGGGCGGGGCTCAGCGGCTGAGCGTCGACCTAGGATGCAGGCGATCGGGGTTCGATTCCCGGTCAGGGCACATGCCCGGGCTGCGGGCTCGATCAGTGACTCTCTCATCATTAATGTTTCTCTCTCTCTCCCTCTCCCTCTCCTTTCCTCTCTCTGAAATCAATAAAGATATATTTTAAAAATAATAATAAAGTAAATGGTACAGTTTGGGGGATCGTGATTACATAGGTGGTAAGTAAAGAAAGCCCCAGGATTGGCCATTTTCAGTGGAACTGTATTTAAAGTAAAGAGGAGAGTTTTAAGGTTTACCAACTTTAAACGAGCAGAAGGAAAGAACTGTTCAACGACACTAAGGAATATTTAGAGAGTGGAAGAAGACTAGAGTGCGGTGGTAAGAAAGCAAGGGAAAGAAGCATTTGAGAGAAGTGTTCAAAGTTTCAAAGACAGCAAAGGATTTCTGTAAGACAGGAGCTAAAATGTAAGATTTAGTTGCAGTTGGTCATTAGAAAAATTGATAAGTGGTTTTGGTGGCTGGGAAGTATAGGAGCCAGATGAATTGGAAACAATGTAAGTAAAAAAAACTCCTTTAGTAAAGGTGGCTGGGAGGGGTTAAAAAGAGATCGGAAGCATTGGGTCCAGAAAGTTCTATATTTTATAAAATGAAAAGCGTTCAGCTTGGTTAAAGGCATTGGGAGAAAGCATTTAGAGAAGAGGAAGACTGAAGATACAGGCAAGAGAAAGGGCCTGTGTTCTCTCTCCCCATGCTGCAGTGGTGACATGGGATTCGACACCTTGCTCTCATGTCCCACAGCTTGTGAAAGTGAGCTGAGACCATGTCATTTGATTCGTATGTGACATAGGGATGTAAAGTATCACAAACTGTATAATAATTTCACTTGGTTTGCCATCTGGAATGAAGCTGGGTGACTACTTGATGAGAAGACATTTAATTAATTGGCACGAGCAGGGAAAAGATGAGTGGATTATTACCATGTGTTTATATTATGTGTTTAGTTACAGATACGTGATCCAAGAGATCTCATTAGTGAAGCAGATATAGAATATGAGATGGAAATTACGATCGGATTATTTCACTGAAAGTCTTATGTCAGTTACTGTTTGTATCTATTTAGTGACTCGGCATTAATTCTTATTTATTTTATTTGGCCATCTACATAAAATTAAATATGTTTCTTTTTATGTACTCTGAACACATTGATATTCAGTTTAGCCTACTCTAGTTAATTGATGTATTCATATATAGTTTAAGTTCTATTGTTTGCATAATTATTTGTATGATAAACAACAATAGATGTCATAAGATATAACCAAGCAAATTTTGATTTGAGTGTTTGCAAAGCTAAATTATAATACAAATATGGAAATAATTATGTTAAAATTTAATCTGTTGGACTAAATAAAACACTATCCAGTGTATCACACTGAGATAATAACATTGAACATTTGACTGACAATCTATTCACACACACAGGAAACCCAGTAAACCTCGTGTGCCAAGCATATAATCTAGATTAAGTAGGCCCCCCACAAAAAGTTGAAAAGAATAATATTAAAACTGGACATTTGCAAAGTGAAAATAAAATGTGAGTGACATAACACAGCCAGAAGCAAAGTTATTAGTCTAGCACTTACTGTAGTTTCAAAGTTAGTTTGTTAAAGGCAAAACAACAAATGGCTATGAAAAGGAGAAGAGATACATATTTATGATGATGCTCATGAATGAAAGCAGATAGAAGGTGATTAAATATCAAAAAACATCAAGTTTGTTTGGCATCACATACAATAAATTAAAATAAGTTAAATAGTATAGCAAGCACCAAAGCAGTGGAAAGTCATAATGATTCCTGAAAACAATACAGTAAGAACAAACAATAGAGGAACTTCGTATAGGATATATTAGTTGTTCCTAACCTTTTTTCAGAAATGTAATATTTTTTGCACATACAATTTTATATAGGCTCAGTATTTGAAGTAGATGCAATCAGAAGTGCTTTTGGGTTTTGGGGGAGGGAGGTGTACTGAGGGAAGGGGTCCAGGCTTTCCCACCCATTCCTTCTCGCCTAAGGTTCTCATGCAAACCTATACAAGTCCCCCTAGAGAATTTGTGGGGCTCCTAAAAACTCACCACTGGGCCACCAAAATTTGATATTGGTAAGTCCCATAAGAGAAAGGATTATGTAAATATTCATTATATGCATGAGTGACTTAAAGTACAAGACTTGTAAATCCTGTTTGCTTATATTTTCTTGAAAAAATACTAAAATCTGTGTGTAGTTTTGGCACCAAATTGAAAACATCTTAGATATGATTTCTAAAGCTCTTCAACTTTATTTTTTTCAGTAAAGTAAAATAAAGATTAATTAGGCAGATTATTTACAATGTAAAGATTGAAAGTGGACCCTCAATTTGCACGAAGATCAGGAGAACAATAAAATATGACAACACAGAGGAGCACCTCCAGGTTATACTAACTGTGCGGCACCTACAGAAATACATCCCAAGTCTTGCTGAAACATCCACAATGTGAAGGTCCAGTCCAGCAACTTAAAGGGTCATTTAAGGAACAAAACTAAATTTAATCGAAACCCAAGATTCCCAAATGTTACAACATAATGTTTTTCATACCTTGCAAGAAAATTATGGCCAGTCCTACTGCCAGAACAAACTTCCCAGGTTGATCAATCTACCTAGGTGATCAAATTCTAGTTCCTGGGTGAACATAGAACATATACTGTATCTCAGAGTACTTCATCTAAAGAAGACCGACAGTGTTCACTTCTGTTAATTGTTACCTTCTCATGTTATAATTACATTCCTTAAACTCTATTATGAATTTCAAGAAACACCATAAACAAAAACAAAAGAAACACTTCCAGGTTTTATTAATTTATCTTATTTAATTATACTTCATAGTTTCTTAAAACCCAGATATTGTGGAATATAGATATAAATGTTATTAGGAAAATTAGATATTTTTCAAGAGCCTATTATTAATTTAACAAAGCAAAATCTAATTTCTTTGTATCACTGTGAACTACTCCTAAGATAAATACCTCTAGATTATCCAATACGCTAGGCTTCTTAATGAACTTAGCAATTACAATCAGTAACCAAAATCAGAAAACATAAAAATTTTATAAAACTAACAACTCATTAAACTAGCTATATAATCCAAGGAGAAATAGAATCTTTAGCCATATGATAAACCAAAAGAATTTGTAACTCAAACAGTCTCAATTTATATATAAACAGGAAAAGAGTATCCCCTAATGCAGGTTTGTATCCTTTAAAAGGTAAATTAGAAAAAGTCATCCATGTTTGAACTAGAAATCAATCATGTCAAAAGACTGATCATCATATGACTGGACAAGAGCCTCGAGAACAATTTTTTTCTCTTTATGAATTTACCCCAGTGTCATTGCAACAACTGGGACGTTGGGAAAGAAAGGCAAGGTGAGCCTGACACCTGCTTACCTCGGGTGCACTTGTTTCAGGAGAGCTGGGTTCCATGGGGTGTGGAATTACTCTGCCTTCGCCTCACGGCCCGCCTAGAGGCTAGCACAAGTTGGCCACGATTCTGCTAAGCATCCAGCATACCCCAATAATGACTTTCCTGACAGCATAATTTTTATTTTCAAACACGATTCGAGAGAACTCTAAGGTTATGATAAAAAATCAAACTGCCACTGCAAAAAAATAATAATAATTTAGGCTGAATAGCAAATGAATGCAGTCCAATTCCAACTAGAAAAATAAGCATACAGCTTCCAACGATGGCACCCTGGTTATTTAAATGTTCCTCTAAATATGCTTAAACATTTTCAAAGCACGATATTATCTTTTTACACGTAAGAGAAAGATACAGAAAGAACTTGGATTTGTCACACTTAAAAAGTCCCTCACTTGGGATTTGCCACATTACCATGGAACGCCAGATATTACTTCGTTTTAGTTAAATTTCCCTTTCCTTTAAATTGGCCTCTTGAGAAGGGAAACTTAGCCCCAAGTGAACTCACTCAATGCAGGGCTCTGGGTACAAGTGCAAGGATTCATTAACTGATTATCCAATTGATTGCACACTTGACTTCTAACCGTTTCTTATATTCCTGACGTGCCCGTGACTCAGATCTTTGTAATTTCCCAGACTGGAGGTGAGGAAGTGAACAGCTTCAGAGCTTGCTAATGGTCTGTGTCCTGTCTCCTTTTCTCTGTTTCAGTCTGTTCCCAGTATTCTAGAGGAGTCTTTGCCATTTTTGGACTCTATGATAAGAGGTCGGTGCATACCTTGACCTCCTTCTGCAGCGCCTTACACATCTCCCTGATCACCCCGAGCTTCCCTACGGAGGGGGAGAGCCAGTTTGTGCTGCAGCTGAGGCCTTCCTTGCGAGGCGCACTCTTGAGCCTGCTGGATCACTATGAATGGAACTGTTTTGTCTTCCTGTACGACACAGACAGGGGTAAGTCACATCTCCATAAGTAAGACCAGTTTCATTCCGAAATGGGCTTGTATGCTTGTGCGCTTTAGCAAAGTATTTTAATCCCTGATACGGCTAAAATCAGTAAATGGTCAATGTGTACTATCAGTATTTTGATCTTGACTCTGGGGGAAATTTCTTAGTTAAACAAGCTTTAAATTCACATGGTTACTCATGAGCAAGCCATGCTTCGTTACTTAGTTCAATTTAAGAGGAATTATTCTTTAAAAAGTTCTGTAATCATATTGCAGGTACCATAAAATAAATTCGTCTTTTACTTCAAATGCAAATGACTTAATGGTTTGGAGCCTCTTAAAATATTATCATGTTGAGTCATGTCTTTGAATTTGAAATGCAAGACTTTAAGTGAGTAACTGAAGGATCATTAACAATGACAATGGATTTGATACTGAGGCTCTGCTCTGCTTGCTGCCACCCTTTCACTTTGTCTTTAGCTGTCAGGCTGTAAAGACTAATAAATGATATCATAGGACCCATGTATTGGAGAAACAAGGTGAAAAATTAACATTAAGTTATTGGCAATCCATACATTTTTATACAAAGTACTTTGAGCTTTTTAATTAGAGACATAACTTAAAGAGTTCCTATATTTTTTTGAATTCTGTTTTTTATTTAGTGACTAGAATCACAGCAACATATTATATTTCAAAATAAACATCAGGGAGCCACCCAAGGAGTTTTGTCTTCAGTTCTTTTTTCCATAAAGTGTAAGATTTATGAGAAGACAAGAAGTTAGAATAGAAGTTGAAACAGGCAACATTTTAAGAGCATCCTTGAATAGAATTCTATCCATGAAGTGAGTAAAACAATAAACATAAAAACCATAAACAAGCAAGGTAAATCTTTCGAAGATATAATTACCTTCAAAAGTTCAAAGCATAATTTTCTATACTCAGATGTGAAAACTCAGTAAGGAAATTTATCTTTCTCATTAAAATTCACATTTTTAATCATGTGAGAACAGTATGTCATATCAGATGCCTCAACACTCCCAGCACATTACTTACATTGGCATTGATGGTAAATTTTCCTTTCAGCGCATCTTCTAATTCATGTTTGGGAATATGGGAACGTGCCTACATCTAATGACATCATTCCCCAATAACTAACCATCCAAAGCAACCAAGATGTCCTTCAGTAGGTGAATAGATCATTAAACTGTGGCATATTCAGACAATGAATTATTCAGAGTTAAAAAGTAGTGAGCTACTAAGCCATAAAAAGACATGGAGGAAACTTAAATACATATTATTAAGTGAAAAAAAAGCCAATTTAAAAAGGCTACATACTGTATGATTCCAACTCTATGACATTCTAGAAAAGGCAAAACTATGGAGACAGTAAAAGAGTCAGTGGTTTCCAGGGGTTAAGAGGAAGGAGCAATGAATAGGTGGAGCACAAAGGATTTTAGGGCAGTAAAGCTGCTCCCTATGATACTGTAATGGTGGGTACATGTCATTATATATTTGCCCAAAACGACACCATGTACAACAGCAAGAGTGAACCCTAATGTAAAATAGGGTTGTGTGATAGTGATGTCAATGTAGCTTCACCAATTATAAAATATGAGTATCAAATGCAAAAAAAAATTACACTTCAATGAAATAAACATAAAATGTTAAAAAAATTGAATCATAACATCAAGAAATATGTACTAGGATGTGGATGGGAGGTTTCTTCCTGTGGCTCATTATGACACGGCTCAGTTTGCCACTTTGGGCAGAAGATCCTTATTTTAGGACATCTTGCTCTCATAGGTCTCATAGAAATACTAGTGGGACCAGTGACTCACTTCTTCCCTCTGCCCCTGTGTAAACCAATCTCTAGCAAGGAGAGGGTATAAGCATTTGTGCATTAGACTCCCCAACAAACAGGGATCAAAATTTATAATTTCCAGGATCCTCACTCCTGCATAGCAAGTGAGATGCTCAACCTTGAGCCACGGCCCATCACCTCTCTCCTTGGTGTCTCTCTCTCTAGTACAAGCAGACATACGTACTTGGTTATCTAAAGACTTTCTCTTGGTAAAATGTATGCCTTCAAAGGCTTAAGACCGTCATGGTACAAGCACTATTACTTCTAACATGGTCTCTTACAACCTTTAACCACTTACTGGCTTGCTGCACAAAGTGTACTTTTGTTCGTCGTTACCCTAGAATTTAGCTGGTTTGCTTCTAACCGACTAATGTGAGCCACTCTAGAATTTCTGCACTCCCTCCTGTGGTTGCTTCAGGATGAATAGCAAGTCCTTTGGACTGCCTTCTATTTTAGTAACCCAACCCAACTTTAACCTAGACACCTTATTTCAAGCTGTAATTGCGTGAATGGAAACTAAACATGTCAGGAAAAGGGCCATTTCTTGATGTCCGGGTGGCTCTCTCTGCCATCAGACCACCATGCTTCCCAATGTCCTGAGTACTTGCAAAGGACAAGAATCGTTTTTCTCCTTTGGAAGTTGTTGTGCTCATTTTATAAGTTTAGGATCACAAGTCCAATTTATTCCCATTCAGACACTATGCTGAATTATGCATCACTATTACCAACGGAGATATGAGTCTCATCTAGGAACATATGATTAACTTCTGTCATAGCAGAGTTGGCTAAGAGTAATCTATATTTTCACATCATGAAGAAAAAAAGAACACACATCGACATTGAAGATCGGAATATTTTTTTAATAATGCACAAAACCAGCTGCCATTACCACAAACTGCTTGTCTAAATATTTTGCTTATTATAAGTAACTGCCTTAATTATGACTCTGAATTTCTCACAGACTTTAGTGGCATATGACATTCTGATGTATCATAAATCCTTATTTTGGAATAAGTTATTTCGTTGATCCACTCAATTATTTCTGAAATCTTAATTTCCAGAGTGATATAGTGAACTCTTAAGATATAAGACTTCACCGTCATAACTTCAAGTGGTGTTTTTATGTTGAATTATAGCCTAAATTTAAAGGAATGGTATTTTATTTCCTCTGATATCAGACCTGTGTTCTAGTCCCAGCCTGCTATTGATGAGCTGTGTGAACCTGTGTGTATTGTTTTCCACATCTGAAGAAAGGAAGGAAAGAAGGAAGGGAGGAAGAGAGGAAGGAGAGGGAAGGGAGGGAGGAAAGAAAGTTGAACTGCATTGTCTTTAAGGCCCATTCAAACTATATTTAAGATATTTTTATATTTTAAATTCCAAATATTCTATTTCTTCCCTGGATATGTTGGAAAGAAAGAGATAGTGACATAAATAATGTCTTTATCAGCAGGTGACTTACTGCTTCTGTGCATTTGACTACCTTCAAATACGAAAAAAAAAAAGTGTTCATTTATTTATTAATTCAATTTATTTATTTAGCATTCAATAAGAATTTTATTGGTCACTTTGTATCAGGCACTTTGATAAGCATTAAGAATGCAGTAATGAGCAAGACACTACTGAAAATAAATTAATGCATGAGCTATGACTTCATTAGGAAATAGTACACAACACTCTACTTGCCTTTGACACACAGCTTGATGTTTTTACAATTTTAATTTGGAACACAAATGTTTTCCAAATAGATCATTTCCTTTTGTCAAAAAACAACTATAAGTCATCACTGAAACACAAGTACTTGAATTAAATGCAATTTTCTTATTATGAAAATATGTTGGAACAGGCTGAAAAATAACATTCTTGGTTTAGACATAATTTAGCCAAGTATTCAGAAATTTTAAAAATAACCAATATTTGTGGTAATATAAAACCTTGAAATATTTTTGAAATTCAATTAATGTGATGTCATTTTCCTTGAGTGAAAAAGAGACATTAATTTACATATTGACAATATGAGCAGTGGTTGTTTTCCCATTTGAAATAGATATCTTTAAAGAAACATATTTTTTACCTGTGTCTGTTGCTCCGAATTTTAAGTACTTATGATATGTTTATGGCCACCCTTAACACCACAGGTAACAAGGTGAATTTATAATCAAGGAAGAAATGAGGAGATATAAACCTAACACTTTAAAAATTCTAATGATCACTATCAGTTTTTTCAAACTGTTATGATGACCAGTCATTTTGATCTCACATCCAGAGTAAGCTACGGCTGATACTGACCTTGCTTTATTTAATACTGGTTTCCTTTAATATTTAATGCTCAACATTTTACTCAAATTGGTGCTTTCCAGGCTAATGGTGCTATTTCACGGATTGCTAAATAAATTGCATCCAATATCTTAATGCATATTATAGTATGATGTTAATTGTTCTTAGGAAAGGTATATTTGGCAAAGCATAGGGAAAAACACTTTTGCTTGGCTTGCTTTGGCTTGTTTCCTTTGGCCTGTTGTTGTTTTTCTTTTTAGCATTTTTTACAATAATATATTCTACACATGGCATAACATACTTTGAAAAACCTAGAAGCAGTGTTGCGGAGGGGACAATATGTATGTGCTGCAGTTCTATGCAGAAGTCAGTGCCAGTGATGAGGGATTGAAAGAGGCGTGTGTGTTTGTGGGGAGGGAAGGGGAGGGAACTTGCTATTTTTATTTCTACTTGTTGGGTTTTACTGCATACATCCTTTTATTTTAAGCTGCCTTAAATCCTTTACCAAAAAAAAACCCCAAAAAAGCTCTAGATCTAAATAGCAAAATAAGGAACAGGTGAATAGGAAAATGCATGAAATACCTTTAACTGATATCTTACTCCCGATAAATAAGCCTGTATTAATCACCCCAGAGACCTGCCCTGTCTTCCTTCGTGGTTCCCTACTCCAAGACTCTTCCCTATTTTTTTTCACGTCGTCTCATTCCATTGCTCTTTCCCATTTTCTCTTGCTTCCCACAGACCTGGAGTGGGCAGGCATCATGATCTGGGGGCGCTGGGAATCAGAATCCTCTTGCCCACTGCCAGTTATGGCCTCCCAAGATCCTCTTAAACTCAGGCCCACAAACAGCACAAG